ACACTCAAACACATTTGGCAATCATGCCAGGTGAAGAGGTCTGAGAGCAGCTCCTCCTAAACTATGTAAAAGTATTTGTTTCTGGTTGTCAAGTAGGTAATTCTCTGTGGCGGTCCACATTGATTTATTCTTCATTTGTCAAACTCCGCAGTCTTTTTTTTTTTTTTTTTTTTTTTGAGAAAGCAGTATAACATAATGAAGTGTTCAATTACTGCAACAAAGACTTCTGTTTTACATTGGAGTAACATCAGCTAACCACAAACCTTTCTCTCTCTCACACTCTCTCTATCTCTGTAAAAGCAAGCAAGACCTCACAAATTAAAGTCATGCATCACTCCTGCCTATTGTTTTCAACAGCACAGACAGTCTTTCCTCAGCAGTGTCTTGAGGAACATAGAAAGACTCCCTCAAGGAGTATCAACCACACAAGCGAACGGTCCTTTTGTGTATACTTAACTTTAGTTCTTGCATATAACAAACCTCAGTACTCAAGACAGTGATAGAGCTGTCTGTAGATGTCTGTGCCATTAAATTGGATGTGTTGTTGTTCGGATAGCTAGTTGTAAACATGTTGACATATTGACTAACTTTCACTAACTAGCGCTGCGAGTTTCAGTTCAAACTGTTGCTTTCTTATGACTACAATTGACCTAAAAGAGAAAATAGACTGTAGAGGAAGTTAAAAACAGTTGACGTTATGCCTCAGGCCATCCAAGATGTACTGTAGATGAGTTTGTTTCTTCATCGGAACAGATTTGGAGAAATTGAGCATACACTTGCTCACACTGATGTATCCTCTGCAGTGAATGGGTGCCGTCAGAATGAGAGTCCAAACATCTGATAAAAACATCACAATTATCCACAATTAATCCACATGACTCCAGTCCATCAATTAACATCTTGTGAAGCAAGACATTGATGTACTGGAAGCAACTGTTAACTTTGTAACTGTTGCTTCCAGCTAAAATACAAGTCCACTATCCATAATATTGCTTTCTGCAGTGAAAAATCTAGTCTGAATTAGGAGAGATATATGCACAGAGCAAGCACCGTTTACAAGCAAAACCAGTCTGACGAAACTCTAAACAAATTTGTCATTGGATTTGATGTGAGAGGACAACAGGGGATGGACTTTTTCACTAAAGGAAGTGTAATGTATTCCTTATTATAGATTATGGTATTTTGGCCCAAAGCGACAGATTAAAGTTAAAACACCTTAATAATGGATATGTTTTTTTTTTTACAATCCCGCAGCTGTTCACAAGACATTAACTGATGGTCTAGAGCAGTGGTTCTCAACCCGCGGCCCGCGGGCCGCATGCGGCCCGTCACGAATTCAAATGCAGCCCACCATGCTGAACACAATTTTAAAAAATTACTTTCAGTTTTACAATTCATTTTAGTTTTTACATTAATTTAAAAATGTACTAAATAAATATAAGCTGTAGCCTAATGTTTTTATGTAAAATAATTTTGTTTTTCATATATTATTTTCAGACATGAGCAGTA